TCGCCATCTATAATAGTTGGTACTAAACAGATTTAAACAAATGGCTGATTGACTGACTGATTATGATGACTTTTGAGAACTCAATATTATCAACTAACTAACTTTTAAGTTAATAATTTACAGTAAGCCTATAAACCTTTATTGATATTGCAATAATTAATGACAATCATTTTTACATTATTGAGTTCTTAGGTTTTCGCGATCGTTAGAAATGATAGTTATTTCGGATCTAAAACGCGTTTTTTTTACAAGAAAAGGACTCTTTGGGTAGTATTTTAGAACTCTACTCAATGCTCAAGTCAGAATTTGAGTCTGATTCAAACCACTAGAAATCATACTCAAGTCTTTGCCATTAGGGTCGTATTTCCTGTGCTTGAAATCATACTCAAGTCTGCTCAAATCCTAACTTGAGCATTGAGTAAAGTTCTGGAATACATCCCTAAAGTTGCCTTTCCATCAGAGATGTACGACGTAGCGAGACGGATTGCGAGAAAAAATCCACCAATAGGATTACTTCATCTTCCTAGCCTCGCTTAGCGCAGCTCCGGTGGAAGAGGGTTAGCTCAGCTAAGTATTTGTACAAACAAATAGCGAGAAGTGTGTGCGACGGATGCGAGCGAGAAATGTGTGCAAAACCGTGTAGGAAACTAGAGCTACTGAAAGTATGACACTAACTGACATATAGCCACCGCTCATCCCACCACACCATATTTTTTGTCCACCTTAGCACCACACCGTACCCCGCCCGCGCATAGCTGAAAAGCGTTCGTATCCTCGCACAGCTTTGGTGCAATAATCACACCGTTTCATAGCGCCGCTGTACATCCTCACACCGCCTCGCTACCTCGCACATCTCTGGTACAAAAGCAGCCTAAAGGTTGGAAAGAAAAAACTTAAGTGTTTTTAACAAAAAAACATTTAAGTTTTTGTTGTACTATCTAACACTTTTTTTATCTATATTTGCAACGTGCGAGCGTCCACAGAGCAGAGCTACCACCGTTTAGAGCAATCTATTTAAATCTGGTTAATTAAGAAATCCTGGAAGTATAGTTCTGCGAGATTGTTAGTATTTTAAAAATAATCCTGTATATTGTAATTGAAGGTTGTCAACCGAACATAACAGCTGTAAATAATCTATTCGAAAATCATTGCTCGTCATGTTTTTCTAGTAAATTGGTTTGTACAGTCAAGACCACATCAAGCTTAACACTTTGGACTTGATGTGCTCTTGACTTTGTTTTGCGTGCCCGACGAGGTCCATAATATTGGTCATTTCTGTGTTATTAAAATCTCATTATGGTTTTGCAATAAAATATTGAGTATTGACTTTGGACCGTTCTTATTGCAAGCGGCGTAGAGTTAAATGTAAGCCTTTAGTGTCAAGCTTTTGACCCTGTACTTGTAGTTGACATGCAGCATCTAGTATACCGGGTGGAAATTTGTAATGCCACCTGGAGGGAAAGTACTCTAAATACTGGAGATAGAAATTTTTACTTAAAGGAAACATTCCTTTATTTTTTAAAAGAAATAAAACTGCATTCATAGATTTTCGAAAATTTATATAAACACGTGGGAATCGAACCCGCTTTAATCTGAAAAAATGCACCCTGCACTTTTATTGCATCGATCGATAGGGTTGATTATAAGAATAAAATCTCTCTCACAATGTTGGTTAATTAAATGAAAAAAAACCATGAAATCTTAACATATTTTAATAAAATGAAAAAAAATGGTGATCTAACTAATTAGTTGCTCGAAATGAGCTCCATTTTCTTGGATACACAAATTTAATCTTTTAATGAAACATTCCATATTTAAATTACCTCATGCCACTGACCAAAGAGTCTGCATTACAAACATGTGCAAATTGCAACCTTCTTATCTAAATAGTAGCTCGTCATTTTAATGGATAAATGACGTCAACGATAACTAACAAGTAATCTGATGGACCTTTGAGTAAACGTGCTTTAACTTGACCCATTGAATTTATAACTCCAGATTTCATGGTTTGTGAGAGAGATTTCATCCTCATAATTGACCCTATCGTTTGATTTAATAAAAGTACAGGGTGCATTTTTTAAAAGATTTTAGCGGGTTCGATTCCCGCGTGTGGCTAGCAATTTTCGAAAATCTTTGAATGCACTATTATTTATTTTTAAAAATAAAGGAATGTTTCTTTTAAGTAAAAATTTATATCTCCAGTATTTAACATACTTTCTTTCCAAGTGGCATTAGAAATTTCCACCCTGTATAATATACTCGATGACATGCAGTTAAGTAAGTAGTATCAACAGGAGCTCTTGCACGTTACGATAAAGCCTTTGGTCGCGGATAAAATTTGAATTGACAGGTTATAAAATAGATAGATATAGCTTAGTACTAAAAAATTGTGTGCTTGTGCGTATTGAAACGTAATAAACCACAGGCAAAACTTTTTTTATAATATCAAATGACGGTACACGAACCAGTCAAGTCTATGCTACACGCCTGTCCATACCAGTGTTACTCAGAGCTTTAAATCGCAAAGATTTGAGAGGCACTGCCGCTGCGCCCGTCACCATGAGACATAAGTTGACAAGTCCCATGTGCCTGTAATTCCACCAGCACCCTTACCCTTAAAAATCGGAACACAGTAATGCTGACATTCCCTGGACTTCCCTGAACGAACTCTTTCACAAGGAGCTCTACTGCTATTAAAACGTTTCTGCACGTATATGTTGAGCAATTGGAATCAATGTATTTCGTTGAACACTGTTTTTGTGATATTTAGGAAGTCCTCTTTATACACTTATCGACACGGAATCGCGTTAAGCCGGTCAGAAATACATTTATCTCCATGTAACAATAGCGAAAAAGATAATGTAGTAATGTTTAAGCGATAGGGAGATTACGGGCTCCCGGAAAGACCAGGGTACGGCGGGCGTCCGGGCCGAGCCCTCCGCCAGTGATACGCCTTCACGGGGTTTCTGGCGGCCCCGGACTTGGGTATGGACTTGCTGAGGTTTGTGGTTAGCTGCAGAGATGAACACGTCCATCTGCCCAGGTGGTGTACCGCCAGGGCGTTGATCCCGCGCGCAGCTAGCGCGTCTTCGGTCTAGACGAGTGCCTGAGGTGAGGAGACGCGCGGGGCACGCGAGTTTGCCTTTATGTCGGGAGCTATGTCCGGACATTGTCGCAGGACACTGCTACCGACAACTCCTTGTAGAGACAGACTGTATGAAGTTTGTGCAAGCGGGCTGACCTGGGATTACGACCTGACTTAGATGGTCCCTGTGCGAGCTTGCTTGCACTGTAACCTATAGTACCCTTCCCGCATAACTAAGAGGTTGATAGGGAGGGTCACTACAAAAACAAAACTTGTATAGAAAGATCGGGGCTGTGTTGTTTTCAAATATATTATCTATTCTTTTGTGATACGCAGGTTACAAAATCGATTCAAAATGCGTCTTGAATCACTGTGATTCGAGACATTCACGCAATAATTTGTACACTATATTTATGCAGTCCAATCAATAATAAGCGCAAAATAAAAAATAATAAAATTATAAAATAGAAGTATAATAAGAATGTAACGATTCTCACAGGACATTGGCGAAATCGCCATTTTTTTTGTATAATTTTATAATAATATTAAACTACCGTACATAGTTATTTTTACTTGACATTGGCAAAATCATTGATTATTTCGATAAAGCCATAACATTTAAAAGAATAAGAAGAATGTAACGTTTAGTCTTTCAGAAGAAAAAACAATAGTGTGGTCAATGCGATATCTAAGATTATTTGATTTTTATCTATAATTATTATTGTTCAGCCTTTTTTGTTATCCTTATAATACAAGTATAGGCAAAATAGGCGCCTTGACGTCGAGTTGCTTATCAGTATTTGATATATATTATAGTATATCAAATACTGACTTAAATATAGAAGTCACTTTTCATGTAAATAATTCAAAGTGCACCTTAAATTCAGTCCCATAGGGTTAATTTTTTACAAATGTACAGATACTTTGGCAGGTTTGAATACTCAGCTTACTTGTCCCATAAAGTTTACACATCAGCATGTGTTTTTTTCCAACTCAAATAATTGTTGACGACTAATTGGATGCTTTGTGTGCCGTAGGAGTAAAGCAACTGTTCATGGCCGTTTGGCGCTTATTGGTTTATATTTATTTTGAAACATTACGTTTTGGTCAGTTAAATAAATAAAAGAATCGCTAACACACTGTCCAATTTTCTTATTTTTTTTTACTTTGTTCGCACTCTCTCCAAATTGTATAAAAATGGAATAATTATTAAGACTGTATTGGTCAACGAATACTGAGAACATTGAAACAAATAATTGCCAGTTATGATAATTAATGTGTATTTTATAATTATTTTTATAAATAAATTTCAATATGTTAGAAAACAAAATGAAAAGGAAGGCCATTACAGTAGCACCCAGTAGGAGCATGAGGACTAATTGTGTCCTTGTGCTCCTACTTGAGGACCAAAAGGATAAAATAACCCTAGATTTATCGAACTATATTTCTTTTTATAAAAAATATTGGGTGATTGTTTTTTCGTCTATCCTTGTATGATCCTTGTGTTCTATGAGCGATCAGTAAGTGAAATTGTCACTCGTATTTTTTATAAACTGTTTATTTAGCATTTCATTTTCAATTAAAACAGCTTTACACGTTCAGGTATTCGAATACTGGCTTCGCACTTTAGAAATGAAAGGCTGGTTGCGGCGCTCTCCTGCTAGAGAGACTTTGTCACTTTGACTTTGAAATGCTGTCTTCTTCTACCTCACGTGGAAAGAAAGTAAGTTAAATTTGTTCACACACACAAACATACCATTACGCCCCTATGTAAATATGGGCACTAGATGAGGAAGTTCCAGGTTACTATTGTTTCTATGAAATTGAAAATAGTATGATACAATCGTACGTTGTAAAAGATGAGAAATTAGTTAGGTATAACATTTTTATGAATGTTATAATCGATACTTCGAAGTGATAAGAGCGTAATCATATTTTAAACACAATAAGATAATGATATAGATAGTCAAGGTAAAATATCATATTTCTTCGATTTGTCTACTCACAGTTCATTAAAACATCGATATGTAACAGAGATATGAATGTAAATGTTTGTGAATTTTGGGTTTGCAATCGCCTGAACGTACTGTAAATTTTCTGTCTTCTACTAAGCACCAATTTTGCAGAGAACTTCATACTGTGTGTGACGCACTTCTTTGCCGCCGAATGAAATGTACATACAGCCATGGCTGCGATGTACCTGAGAAGGCAAACGATTTTATTTTTATAGCTTGGGTTAGGTTTGTCCGAAAAGCAACAAAAATGATAAATTACAAAATTCTTCAAAGACATTCGAGTCCTCAAACGTCTATTGCACTACCTAATTTCAAGGGAGTCTAACTCTAACTTAGGGAGGTGTAATAAGAGTTAGATTCCCTAATTCAGGCGACAGCGCGTGGTAAGAGTAAATACAAAAATAGATTTAAGTATTAAGAAAATAAAAAAAAGATATGTCACGCGTTTCGAGATCACTCTAAATAATATTTGAGGGTTTAGCTGTGGATTATGACCTATCCTCGAAATCAAGCTTACCTTTCCAGGTGTAAGAGAGTTCATATGATCCACTCTGGCAATGTATAGTGTTTCCCCAGTTTTAGTATGGCCGCCTGGGATGGCTCCAGCGGGGACTGCGCCGTTGCTCGCTGGCTTCCAACGTATTAAATGAGCTGGGGCACACAACACCTGAAGTTAACCAAAATACAGATATGTTAAAATAAATTGTCTGTTGAGGTAATCATTATTACTTAATTATACTGCTCCGTAGGACTAGCACGACAGGGCGCGACTAACCGAGAGCGACATAAATAAAGCGCGAGATATCTACGCGAGAATAGCATTATCTAATGAGCTGAATTCTAATTAATTGTAGCCTTTTTAACGCTTACCCTGGACCTCGTAGCACACATCGAAGTCAGGGTCGCTCCCGTTCTCCACATGTGTAAGACACGCGTATGGATACTGTTATTCTCGCTTAGAGATTTGCGCTTTATGTCGCTCTCGTGCTAGTTGCACCCTGTCGTGCTAGCTTTATGGATATGTGTAATAATTAATAAATAAAAATTTAAATACAGCTGTTGGCACATAAATCCGAACTATTATTAAAAATGCGATAGAATCTTTGTCCTGCAGAAATGTGTGGTTAGGGCAATTTACAATCTGGGCCCATGAGTGTCTTTGAGAGATAAGTTTAAACTAACATTCTTACATTAGTACATTTATGAAAACGTTATTTACGTAAAAAAAAATTTTTTTTTTGTGAATAATAGTGACATACATAACTTTAATACGAGGAATAAAAATAAACCTCAAAATAAGACTCAAATTCATCTAAGGGCGCTTCTATAATGAGATTCCGATTGATATTCAAAGTTTGCCATTCACGAGATTTTAAACTATAGTCAAACAAAAATTGTATACTACAGGTTATGACATGACAAAAATCCGTGGTAGTGACTCGTTTAGCTCTTGCAGGTAGTCTCAATATAAGATGTTTAAATTAAATATTGTAATGATAAATGATATATTTTTAATTTATTTTTAACTGCCTCCGTGGCCGAACGGTTACCATGCTGGACTGCCACGCAGAGGCCCCAGGTTCGATTCCCGGGCTGGGAGAAATATTTGTATGGCCTGCATTTATTTCTCTCGTGAGTTTGGGTGTAATTTGTGGTTGTCTATGTGTGTGTCCATGGCACCTGCGACACTGGGTTTCCCTAGTGCGGGGCTATGTTGAGTGTGTGCGTTATTATTATTTTAATGTATATTTACAAAGAGCAACCTCTAGCGTTTCAAGGGAATCTGCCTTACGAATGCGTAGTAGAGTTTATCATAATATCGTAGTGATATCATAATGATTACATATTCTTGAAATCAGTATGAAGATTTCAAGTGCTTACCTACGAAATAAATATTATTATTTTGACTTTGCTAAAGTAACTGTTACGTTCTCGCGCCTAAGAAACCACTGAACCAATATTGATGTATTTTGGTATAAAGATACATTGGACCAAGGACGTAGGAAAACGTAAGACGTAGAAAAAAATCATATTTTGTTGAAAAATAAATATTATAGTTAAAATTAATTTTCCGCATTTGACGTTGACACCTGTCAAATGTTGAAGTAACAGAACGAAAACCTTAAGACAATTTGTCCATCCTCTAAGATGAAAACAATGGAGCCAACAACAAGTGGTGGTGGTTGTTGGAGGTTTTTTCCGCTGTAGTGAAATCATTTTAAATATCGTTTTTCTTTATTTTTTTAGCTATACAAGTTTATTTTATAATTCACGTTAAATAAAACTTAAAACGATATTTTTAAACGTAGAACATAATATGAGGCTTCCGAATTATATTTTTCTATTTTTTCCAATTATTCGGGAATTTTCCCGAAAAGTTTGCACTATTTGAAAATTTTCGGCAAAGACATAGGCTACTCAAATCTCAAATGGAGTGGCATGGGGAGATGAAAGCTTGTATGGTGAACCAATAACTATGAAAATTATAATAATAATACAAGTAGACGAAGACGAAGTCGCGGGCGCCAGCTATACATAATAGCTAGAAAATATATTTACCTCGAAGTTATGAACGATCACTTCATTGCCTCCAAAAGCAACATATGCTTGTTTGTGTTTGATGGCAAGTTTACCAGGAATATGGTCCCCACTATGATGAGCTCTGATAACCCATAGAGGGCTGCTGTCATATCCTTCCTTGCCGGCTACTACAGCACGATGGCTAAGGCTTTGGGCGCTGTGAGGGCTTGATGGAACCCACTGAATACAATCCTGCAGAGCTATAAAGTAATTAAAGAATTACTTATCAATGATTAGGAGCTTAAATATAACATTGATTACGATTGTACCTTTTACGTTTTATTTCTACTGAAAGTTAAAATAAAAATGATCGAATTAATTGAGTATGAGAATGTACTGATATGTTTCTTTTAAATGGGACAGTATAGGAAATCCGAAACGATAGGAGACACAAAGAAATCGCCTTAGGAACAAATTCTTATTTTTTTCTGTGAAAACAATTTTGGTATGGTCAATTTTTTGGTCAAGTGTGAGTTGTCCATAACAATGAACAAAATTGATTAAAATTTATTTTAGTGCTAATCGACTCAGTTTCATGAAGGGGTCGTTTCATTGATGGGACGAAAAAATCGAGACAGCCGAAGTTGATCAAATTTCATAAAATATTTTTCATACAAAATCATTACAAAATGAATAAAATTGACTAAGTTTTTTAATGCTGATACACTCAGAACTCTACTCAATGCTCAAGTCAGGACGAGTATTATTTAAGGCATTAGAAATCATACTCAAGTCCTTGCCATTAGGGTCGTATTTCCAGTGCTTGAAATCATACTCAAGTCCTGACTTGAGCATTGAGTAGAGTTCTGGAATACGACTCTCAGGGTCGTATTCTAGAACTCTACTCAATACTCAAGTCAGGATTGCACTGGAATGCGACCCTAATGGCAGGGACTTGAGTATGATTTCGAGTGTTTTAAACCATAATCCTGACTTAAGCATTGAGTAGAGTTCTAGAATACGACCCTTAGTTACTTATGAGTATGATTTTATTGTATGGGAAGAAAAAAATCGGAACAGCAGAAGTTGGTCAAATTTAATAAAATGATTTTTCATACAAAATGAATAAAATTGACAATTTTTTTTAATGCTGATGGGCTCAGTCTCTTATAAAAATGATTTTATTGTATTGGAAGAAAATATTCGGGACAGCAGAAGTTGGTCAAATTTAATAAAACTAACTTCTGCTGTCCCGATTTTTTCTTCCCATACAATAAAATCATACTGAGAAAAGAAACTAAGTCTATTAGCATTTAAAAAAAAAATTGTCAATTTTATTCATCTTGTACGAAAGATATTTTAAGAAATTTGACCAACTTCGGCTGTCCCGATTTTTTCGTCTCATACAATGAAATGATCCTTTTATGAAATTGAGTCGATCAGCAGTAAAAAAAATTGATCAATTTTGTCCATTTTTATGGACAACTCACCCTTGACCAAAAAATGACTATGCCAAAATTGTTTACACGAAAAAAACTTAATGATACCTAATCTTAGACTATGGAAACCAAATCGTCTATTGTTTCGGATACCGTCCCATTAAAAAAAACCACCTTGTAAAATATATTAGTGGCATGTTTTATACTCTAACAAAGGGGTCATTATACAGTTCTTAGGAGGTATGAAACAGAATTGTATATCATAAGGGTAGGTGCAATGTCTGTCTCTAGTGTACTGTGATGTCGATAAACCTACCAATCGCGATTTTGACATATTTTGTGGCGTAAGGAAACCTTGTCACGCGCCTGTAAGTGGATTGTATGGCGCTAGAATTATTTTGTTGCCTGTGCTATCCTGGCTAAAATGGTATCAATGTACTCACGCGTTGCTTTCTTTACTGCAGCGGAGAGAGTGTGTAACGGTTTGCAATAAGATGGTGGCAAATTCTTGCTTATTTGTCTTCTTTTGTCTTTGTTCAAAGGTGCTAGAAGTTGGAAAATGAGAATTAGATTTTAACAAAAGTTGGTTTTTTGGGTTAGAGCTTAGAGGATGGACGTCGACACTGACACAACGCAGACCTTTCGTTTCTGTCAGTATGCAGAGTATTCGATATTACAGTAGATTGAATAACACAGGCAGAATACCGAACATATCTGCAACCCAAAAGTTAAAATACAACGTCACGAATAATAGCCAGTCCAAGTTGAGCTCTAAATTTGTTTTCTTAGATTATGTTATGAGAAATTAGTTTACCGATGAAACGTTATGCCGTCATTTTTGAAATCAGATTTTTGGCTACTATTTCCACACTATCTTATTGTTTATATTTATTTTATTTATATATTTTATATTTATTTATTATATGTATCT